GCGAGGTGGTCTGGCGCGTTTCGCCTGAGACATCCTCGCAGCTCTGGGCTCCGAGATGCCGCGCCAGAGGTGGTCTGGCCCGCTTCTTTCGAAACGTTCCCGAAGCTCTCTGGGCTCCGCGAGGGAGGAGAGAGGAGAAGGAGGAGGAGGAGGAGGAGGAAGATGATGATGATGATGAGGAGGAGGAGGAGGAGGAGGCGCAGGAGGAGGAGGAGGAGGAGGAGGAGAGAGGAGGAGGAGGAGGAGGAGGAGGAGGAGGAGGAGGAGCAAGAAGAGGTCAGACCCAAACGAACCACTTGATCCCACTTCTGCTGTCGAAGTGTGCTCTGGGAGAGAACTGGGCGCACCTGGTCGGACGGACAAGGCAGTTAGCTGGCGCCGCGGCGCGAGCACGATGCTCTGGAAATCTACAAAGGCTGATCAGTTGGGAGTCATGCTGGAGCACATCGTGGAGATGCCTCGACTAGAGCGCGGCGAGCAGGGAGGAGGCAGGATGGGGGAGGAGAAACGGAGGCGGAAAGAGCTCCGACATTCTGCACGAGAAGAATACTGGAGGAGGGCGACGGGACCAAGCTCAAACGCTACCTGTTCGAGGACATCCCTGACGAGGGTGCCTCCCAGAAGCGGCATCGAGTGCGAAAGCATCCCTGGCATGGCGGAGGAAGCAGAAAAGAGGGAAGAGGAGGGAGCGGAGGAGGAGGAGCAGGAGGAGAAGGAGGAGGGGCAGCAGGAGGAGCAGGAGGCACAGGAGGAAGAGGAGGAGGAGAAGGAGGAGGAGGAATGCGAGGACGAGGGGGAGGAGGAGGAGGAGGAGGAGGAGGAGGAGGAGGAGGAGGAGGAGGAGGAGGAGGACGAGCATTGCGAGGATGAGGAGGAGGAGGACGAGGAACACAAGGCGGAGTACGAGGAATACAAACAGGAACACGGCGAGCAGTAGGAGGAGAAGGAGGAGAAATACAAGGAGGCCGTCGATGACGTGGTAGAGGATGAAGAGTATGAGGAGGAAGAACACGACTAGGAATAGCACTAGGAGGATGAGGAGGAGGAGGGGACGAAGAGGAGTGAGATGAGACGATACACGAGTAGGAGGAGGACGACGAGGAGGAGGGGGGGGAGGAAGAGGGGGAGGACCAGGAGGATAAGGATGAGGAGGATGACGAGGAGGAGGAGGAGGAGGAGCGGAAGGAAGAGAGAAGGGGGAAGAGGAGAAGCAGGTGTAGTGGAAAGGGGGAGAGCGAGGGCGAGATGGAGAATTACGTGGATGCGGGGGAGGATGATGACGACGACGATGACGAAAAGCTGGACAACGACGACGACGCCGACGGCGCAGGAGAATCAGAAGCAGGAGATCGCGCGAACACTCTTAGGAGCCACCTTGGCTCAAAAAGCGCTGTCGGGGAATATTGGGCTCTGGCCATAATAAGACGACAATGAAACGGGGGTCCGGTACCAGGCCGGCTGTGATTATGCTACCCGATATTTGGGATCACAAGCTTGCAATTTGTATACGGAAAGAATACGCACAAGCGGGTTGATAACCCACGCCTCCGTGAGGGGATAAGAATCTAATCGGTTTTCGGGCACAAGATCAAACATAAAGAACTTGACATCTCTAGCTTCAATACTCGCCGTAAGCTCCAATGTTAGAGCAAATACCCCATCCACCCACCCACAACTTGTTGGCAAAACTCAACTGGCGTAAAGGCGCGAAGATCCTTGTCGTGCAGATCCGTGAGAAAGGCGTGCGGGTGCTTATGATGACGATGGTGGCCTGACGGTGAGGGCGACGACATCAGCTATGACGATCATGTTGATGACGACGTTGGAGATGATCACCACGACGATTGTGATGGTGACGCAGATGATGTTGATGATTGTGACGGTGACACGTGTGACGCTGGCGGTGATTAGAACCAATGGCTCTGATTAGGATGATGAAGAACTGCGCGCGCAGAGATTCAGAAATCTAGACACCATATTATATTGAAAAGTCATTGGGTGTCCAAATACATTTGAACACCTGTTTTGACACGTCTAGAAACCACTGGTTTTGGACGGGGGCCGAATTGCGCGCGAGGAGGTGCGTGTGTATGGCCAGCATGGTGCTATTTGGCAAGATTGGCGGATGCACGATGATTGTTGGATGAGTGTTTGCCACGCGCAAACGTGCGGCCCGCATGGTCTCCGTCGACAGAGCGGCCAAACAGACGACAGATCTCTCATGGTTCCAAAGGGAGTGCAAGCGCGCAGGAGTATGCAAGCTTGTCGTTGAAAGCGAACGCGTTCGAACCTTTCTAGGTGTACGTGCATACACACATAAGTACACATGCATGTATTCAAGAAACTGTTACATCACAAGAAATGCTGAATTATGTGGACGTGCGCGTGCGGGGACGCACTCACGTGGCCCGCATGGCAGACTTTGATGTGTTGTAACATGGCGCGCCTGTCACATCAACGCAGGTCACCACATCTTATTGGTATCTGACAGGGACGAGCGGGAGCGATGCCGGCCTGGCTGGCATTGTGTTATCCGGCGCTTGATATGAACGATCGCGCAGGACATCTCTGAAAACACATTGCGCGGAGGGGAGGGGATAGCCCAGGCTTCGCTGGAGTGTGGGTGGGGAGGGGGTATGATCTGTTTCGCTGAAAGAGCAAACTGTATGTGGTTCAATCCCCATTGAACAATTTAGGTGGATCAACGCACGTGGTGTAGTCAACTGAATGCATGTTGCAACATGTGTACGACTCGCAGTGGTAGCGTGAGCAATGTGGAACGTGGTCGTAGCAAGAGTATGCGAAATACGGCAACACTAGCACCAGGGAAATATAGGGAAGTAGATGTAGCAGAAGCGTCGGTAGTAATGCTAGTTGTGAGAAGAAGCATTCTAGAGGCCTTCTCAGCGGTGAGGGCACCAGCGCAAGAGCAGAACGAAACTTAACTGCCAAAGGTTTGACCGGGCACCAGCCAATACAGCACCACCCATGAGGCACCAGGGCAAGACGACAAAATCGAAACCTTTAATCAGATCGGGCATCGGTCATAGAGCATCACCTACAGGGCATCACTGAGCACCAGCCCTACAGCACCACCCAAAAGACACAAAGGCAAGATCGCGAACACCGCAACCATAAAGGCACCACAGGGTAGCAGAGCATCAGAGCAAGAACACTAAGATCTCGGCCATCAAGGGCACCGAGGGGCAACTGACATGGAGCACCACCCACGGCGCAGCAAGAGAAGAGCGTAGAAGTCGCAACCATCAAACGAAGAATAGGGGACCAGCCATGGAGCAAGCAAAGAACGCGAACGGCGCAGTCAACGAAGACAAAATATGAGACCAGTCATACATCACTGCTCGTAGAGCACCAGGACGCAACCATGATGCCCAATCCCTTTCCAAACAGATTAGTGTTAGGTCGGGCATGTCCCCCTGCAGGCGGATTTTGAAGGAAAAATAAAAGCGATTCAAAACATACTCCCAAACTGCTTAAAAATAGTCAAAACATCGTCCCTGACTGTTTTTTTGACTATTTCTGAATATTCCCCCTCTAGAGGGACAGGCCCGACTTAACCTTAGTGCAAGAACCGCTTTGGGAAAATGGTGCATGCAACACATCCGCTCAGCACACCTCCGCAGACCTCTCCTGCTGGCCCCTCAACTGCAAACTGACACTGTCTGGGGACCACAGCCCTCGGGGGGGACTCCACAATCCCTCGCGAAGCACAGCACGTGCCGTTTTCAGGAGCAGGGCATAACGTAACATGCCAAACATGATCGCTTCCGCGTAGGGCCACCAATCCCTCGTTACATAAAACGTACTTCTCGAGATGGCGCTCAAACTGTGCGTCAGGAAGGCCCGGGGACCTTAGCCTTAAGACGGCTCCGAAAAAAACCTACAGGGGAATCATTGGACAAACATGTGGTGTTTAATGTTTGTTGACCTCAAACGCTTTTCCGATCCAGAGGGTTCCCCGAAGGCTCCCAGTGGGCCGAAGTCGTCCCCCAAGAGGCCCTCAGAGTGGTCAAAAGGACGCCCTGAAGAGGCGCAAAGACGTCCCCCAAGAGCACCCGAGATGGTCGAAGATCCACCCAAGAGGCCCCAAGTCGCCACCCGGAGGCCCCGAAGGTAGCCCAAATGTACCTCTCGGACGCCCGCAGGGTGCCCCCCCAGAGGCCCCCGAGATTGCCTACGGCACCTCCAGGACGCTGCCAAAACAAAGCCTCAGGGACCCCCATGATCCTCACCCCCCCAAAAATCAATAAAGAGTGCCTCCAGGGTTTCCACATTGTTTCAACAGCGGCTGCGAAAGACAACGTCCTAGCTTAGTGAAAGTTTCGCCCAAGATTCGGCCACATAGTCGTTTCAAGAACGGGAGGGGTCGGCGGTGGCTCGCCAGAGGCGTCTTCGACCATACATTTGCATCGCCATACTGTCATGCAGTCTAGCCAGTCAAACCGCCTCGGGCCGAAATTCCAGCAACGAGTCGGATTGGGCTTACTTCAAAAAAAAAGCCCGATGAACCGATGAAGAATTCTGCAGAACCGCCGTCGTAGTTATCATTAAGCGCGCGGCCCCTGCTTTCGCACAGCCGGCTGCTGTCTTAGCTGCCAGGCTGGCTTCCTGACAAGACTTGCACCGCGAAGCGCCCATGTGGTGACGATAGAAGGAGAAAAGACGCCATAAACATAAACTTGTGGCGCTCCGCGCGGATCTCTTGATTCCGCGCTGGACCGCCCTCCCTGGCGCGCGGAGCGCGCCAGGGGCGGCGCTGGAGACGCCGCCTGGGGGTCCCCAGCGCGGATCCAAGAAGTCCGCGGAGCGCCAAAAGTTCATGTTTGTGGCGATTTTCCCCCTGCGAGACGACTTGTATGGCATGAGATCGACAGCTCGTATCCACAGCTTCGCGTGGCCGTTTCAGGACGTCGTCGGTCCCACCCTCCACGCGACGCGCCCACGAGTGGGCCGCAGGTCAAAATCGGGAGCGCGCAAACATGGATTTGCGATCCATGGATTTGGCGCGCGGTCGCCAAATCCATGGATCGGGGGAGGTGCCCTCCCCCAAAGTGCGGCCGGTGCCGCCTCGCTCGGCGGCGGAATTCCGCGATCTCCCATGGAGACGGGACCCGTCGCTGGTCCACGCCACCCCTTTGATCCATGCCTGCGATCGCCTGGCAGAAGGGCCACCGGGCACAGTGCTGCGGGCCACGGGCGCCCCCGACCCGACTCCTGGGGCGCCACCTCGCCGCCCGCACGAGGCGGCCACGGAGGAGCCACGGGCCACGGGCCGTGGGCCACGGAGTTCGGTGGCAACTCGTCGGAGCTTCCCCGTGCCATCGTGTGGGCTCTCGCGGATCGGCGCCAGTCGACACGAAATCGACGCTAAGTCGACGCTAAATCGACGCTAGTCGACCCTAACCGACGCTAAATCGGCGCTGTCTCATCGACTCCCAGACGCTAATCGGCGCTAGTCGACGCTAAAGACAGAATTGCGATGGGTACGCAAGGCTCCCATGAATTGCTACCGAACATCAGGCTGCAGGCACCAGGTCACGAACCACCGATGCCACCCTTGAGCATCAGCTCGCACACGAAGCGGCCCTCCCTGCTCAACTTTTGATGGCCACCGCCCGTGTCGGATCATTCAGTCAATGACAGTCATGCGGTCACAAGTTTTGGGTAAGGCTTGCGATATCTTGGAGCAATGCTCGAGTTCGATCAGAGTTTCCGCAGGTTTTCCCCAGGACCGTTTCGTGCACGTGGGCGCAACTGGGACTCGAAAGGGGCGTCGTTCCTTGTAGAAGGCTCCTTATCTCGAAACCTTGACTGCCAAGACACTGCTCCCAACAGAAATCGCTGTATGATCAGAACTCCTGCGCAGCGGCTAGGCCAAGCAAACATACTGCACTGGCAGCATCGCATCACATGCAAAACGTGAACGCAACCAACTCGAGCCCCGCAACTGCGGATGAGAGGGGTGCCTGGGCAGACTTGGGGGGGCTGTGTGGCTCAGAAGCCCATGCTAACAAGCCCGTCGCACGCGCTTACGTCCTAACAGGGGAACGAAGAATGACATAAGCATAAAAACTCGGAGGTCGCCCGGATTTCTCGGATTCGCGCTGGACCCCCCCCCCTGGCGCGCGGAGCGCCAGGGGCGGCGCCGGAGGCGCCGCCAGGGGGTCCAGCACGGATCTGAGAAATCCGCGCAGACCTCCGAGTTTTCATGTTTATGTCATTGTTCGTTCCCCCATTTCAAGCAGTCGGCCCGCCGCAGTCGCTCATCGAGAAAGGTCGGCAGGTCGCGAGGTCCGAATTGCAGTGTGAAGATGCCCGCTGCGGACACTAGTTTCGAGTTTCGCATCACAGCAAAGAGCGTCACAAGAGGCCCTTCGTTTGCAAAAAAATGGGTTTGCCGCGGGCGTGTCTCGAGTGAGTCGCTGGGCGGGCGACGACGACGACAAAAACGGGAATAGCAGCAAAAACAATAATGCTCGCTATTCGCTGCCTGCGCGTCCAGTTCGGCATGTGCACCCCAAGCGCTCGACTCCCGACCTCTTCGCTTATGAAAGTGCCCTCTTTGGGGCGCTTCATTTTTCATGCCTACTCCACGGTAAACCTCGACATGGTAAGACAAACGGGTCGGGCGGGCGGACTCTGACGGGCGGAATGGGCGGGCCCTAAGGGGCGGGTCGGGCAGGCGAACCCTGATGGGCGGGACAAGCGGGCGGGACATTGGAGCAAGAGTGCGGGCTTCCAAGTAAAGGACCGGGTGGACCCTGCCGGGCAAGCCAGGCGGCCGCAACATCAAAGCCGGCGGGTCAGGGTCGGGCGGGCGGACCCTAACGGGCGGGTCGGGCGGGCGGACCCTGACTCGCGGGCGGGGTGGGTAGGACAGTATAAATAACTGTGGCGGCGAGGTCCCAGGCGAGAGTGCGACTCAGCGCGATGCCGAAGTAAATACATTGTGAAGAAGTCCGACACGGGAGCGCAATCCTTGAGTAACTTGCAGGGAAGTACCAAAGAGAGGATGAGAGCGCGATGCCCGGGCAAATTGGGACAAGTGCGAGGCGAGAGCCTGGTTCTCGAGTAAACTGCGCGGACGTCTCGAGCGAGAGCACGACTTGTAACCCAACTTTCCAAGAAATGTATAAAGCGAGAGCCGTTGATGCTGCAGTCGGGGGGACCACCAGCGCAGTTTGAGAATCCATACGTCCCCTGGCAGGAGCAGGGTGCGAGCGTCGAGGGGCACACCTGGGGCGAGCAGCAAGAGCTGGCCAGCGAAGGGCGATCTACAGCACGTACAGTCTCGCCAAGACTGCAGACTCAACGGCAATCCGTACAACGAACCCCTCTTCAGCCAAACACCCGGGGATGGAGTCTGACCGCTCGGCCCCCCTTCAGTCGGACGAACATGCGCACTCTGGCGAAAATAACAGGCAACCGCGAAGCATAAGCAATTCCCGGCGCGTGCTTCGAAACAGAAGCGAACCAATGCAGAACTTGCAATGGTACACGCGCGGGGGCCAAACCATTTGTTACGTTCACTGCTCCAATTATGGAGTGCTGTCGTTGTATGCGTTAACCTCATGGAACAAAACGTGCAAGAATCTTTCCAACCAATGCTTGGAAGATATGTGCTCCTGGATCAAGGGTTCACAGGCTCCCCCGACCCCTCCCCCACAGATGGGATGGGCCCCAGGGCCCCGCACAGAAGAGCCCCCCCCCCCCCCAGATGGGCTGGGCAGGGCAAAGGGGGACGACGCCGACGCCGACGCCGACGCCGACGCCGACGCCGCCGACGCCGACGGGCGACGCACCGGCACCCTCCACCACGCCACGCCCACAGGGCCACGACAACAGGACGGGGGGAGAGATCCCGTTCGCGAGGCCATCGTGAGGCTCACGGGCGTACCCATCCGGCGGGGGGGTGGCATCCGATGTGTACATCACTGCGTATCTGGACCACGTCGCACATGCTCTATTCACTCCCCTATAAAGACCACCCTTCAGGTGGTAAGGAGGTCGGGGAGGATTGCTGCAGCTTTCGGTTTGCGATTGGCATCGGATCGGCTTCGCGATCTACCGATCAAACGATCTCAATATCCAACAATGACTTTCCCAACATTCCGGCGCCACTATGTATCCGTCGTTTTCACGATCAAACGATCCACCGGTCGCACTTTATGCTGTCTCACTAGATTTTTCGGCAACGAACGCACCCGCAGTACATCTTTCGATATATCCCACTATCTTTCTCTGCATCTACAGACGCGACAACCACGCGACAATCGAGGGACAACCACAGGACAACCACGGGCCAACCACGGGACAACAACGCGACAATCGCGGGATAAACACGGGACAACCATGGGACAACCACTGGACACCCACGGCTTACTGATCTAATCACCGATTAGCTTCACTAGCAAATTTACCGACTCCACTCTGAATATGTCGGTCGATCTGGCGATCTACCGGTGTGATAAATGATCTACGGATCTCACTATCAACATATATATATATGTCGGTGGCATGATCTATTGGTCCCACTCTCTATCGAACAACACTATTAATTCACCTGGTGGACTCACTAATTGCGTATTAGTTTCACGCTCACTATTTCTGTCTCTGTCTCTCTCTCTCTCTCTCTCTCTCTCTGCATATACACATATATATATATACACACACAAAACTGCGTTGGCGCTTCGCGCCATGCAACTTGGTCCTTTAAGCTTGGTTCGCAGGCGGAATTGCAGGAGGGTCAACCGACAATTTAGCGATAACTCCTTGATGCCTTTTCCGGCATCGCTGTCATAGTAATGTTATCCGATATCTTTCCTCCATGTTTCTCTTTCTTCATTCTCGCCCTACCCTGCGAATTCTTCCCCATCCTCCTCAGCTCTTTGTGCGGAAGCTCTTCCTTGGAGAGCTTCTGGGGGCCTCACACAAGTTTTTCTGGCTATCTTAAAGCTGTCTGAAGGCCTCCTGGGCGTGTTCTGGGGACCTCTGGGGGCTTCCTCGGGCCACCCTGCCTCCAGCCGCGGTCTCCGTGAACGACCAGGTCACGATTGGGAATGCTTCGGAGGGTGTCTTGGGGCCATCTTGGGCCGCCATGGGGCTCTCTTAGGGTCATCTTGGACCCCTGTTGTGCCGTTTTGGGGCTCTCTTGGACTGCCTGGAAGCCCTGTCGGATGGTTGTGGGGCGATTTTGGAGCCTCCCAGGCGGCTTCGGACGCCCAGAAGACCGCCGTCTTGGAGCGTCGGGAAGCCGAAAAGAGGAGAACACCAAAACTCACCAAAAACCAACAGAAAATGAATGATGTTTGCCACCTGGGGCCTTCTTGGGAGTGCTCTTGGAGGCCTCTTCGGACGTATTGAAGCGATCTTGAAGATGTGACGGCTTCTTGGGGATCGTGGACCGTATTGGGGCTCTCTGGGGTCGTTTCGGAAGCGCGCCAGAACGCCTGGAACCCGTCTGGGGCCGTCTTCGGGCTCTCGCGAGGTTCTCCCGGGTCGTCTGCAGGGTCGCATGCAGGCCCGGGGAGGGCCATATTCGTTATAACTGCGGGGGGGAGGGGGGGGGGGCATTTTCCGGCGCCCCTGGCTATATAATCATGAATACATATATATATACACACACATACACACATACATATATACACACACAAGACTGCAGTGGCGCTTCGCGCCATGCACCTTGGTCCTTAAAGTTTGGTATGCAGGCGGAATGGCGGAATGGCAGGAAAGTCAAACAGACAATTCAGCGATAACTCCTTGTTGCCTTTTCTGGCATCGCCGATATTATAATGTTATTCGTTATCTTTCCTCCATGCATACTCCTCAATTCTTTTTGCGGAGGCTCCTCCTTGGAGAGCCTCTAGGGGCCTCACGGAAATGTTTCAGGCTTTCTGCAGGCCTTATGGAGGCCTCCTGGGCGTGTTCTGGGGGCCTCTGGGGGTTTCCTCGGGCCACCCTGCCTCCAACCGCGGTCTCCCTGAACGACCGGGTCACGATTTGGAATGCTTTGGAGGGTGTCTTGGGGCCATCTTGGGCCGCCATGGGGTTCTCTTGGACTGCCTGGAAGCCCTTTCAAATGGTTGTGGAACGATTTTGGAGCCTCGCAGGCGGCTTCGGACGCCCAGAAGACCGCCGTCTTGGAGCGTCGAGAAGCCGAAAAGAGGAGAACCCCACAATTCACCCAAAACGCACGGATAATCAATGATTTTTGCCTCATGGCGCCATCTTGGGAGTGCTCTAGGAAGATTGTTGGCACGTTTCGGAGCGATCTTTGGGGGTATGACGGCTTCTTGGGGGTCGTCGTGGACCGTATTGGGGCTCCCTGGTGTCGTTTCGGGAGCGCGCCGGAACGCCTGGAACCCGTCTGGGGCCGTCTTCGGGCTCTCGTGAAATTCTCCCAGGTTGCACGGAGGCCCAGGGAGGGTCAAATTCACTAGAGGGGGGGGCGCTTTTTCCAGGGTCCTAGGCCCTATCTAAATAATATATATATATGTGTATATATATATATACTCCGATTAGATATGTATATATATATATATATATGTATGAGCATGTACGTGTATATATATACATATATATATAAGTGTGTGCATATGTATGTATGTGTGTATATATACATATATATATGTTATATATATATGTGTGTATATATATATAGAGAGAGAGAGAGAGAGAGAAAGAGATTTCAATTACCCGTGACCCCGGCCCGCCCCCGAAACCGAACCTCCCGAATCCTGCGCCCCCGGAACCCTCTGGACCCCCCGGATCTGTGGTCACGGGGATCCCCCTGGACGCCTCTGCAGGAGGCCACCCATGCGTTTAAGAGCTCCTGTAAGCCCATGCTGGGCCTAGGCAACGAGCCCAAATCGGTCAGGAGGGCGGCCGAACGCACCCCCGAGGGCCCCAAGAGGCCCCAGACACCCACCAGACGCCCGAAGACGACCCACAGAAGACCCCCAATAGGCTTCCAAAACGCAGCAAAACATTGTTTTTCTCTAGGGTTTTTGAGTGATTTTGGAAATGGCCTGTTCTTCGGTCTTCTGGGCGTCCGAGACCGCCTGGGAGGCTCGAAAATCGTCCCAAAACCATCCGAAAGGGAGGGCTTCCAGAAAGCCCCTAGACGGCACAACAGGGATCCAAGAAAGCCCCATGGCGGCCCAAGATGGCCCCAAGACATCCTCCAAAGCATTCCGAATCGTGATTCGGTCGTTCAGGGAGACCGCGGTTGGCTCTTGGACTCCTCTGAGGATCTCCTGAGGGCCCCCTTGGGCCGTCTTGGGGCTCTCTTGGGGCTTCTCGGAGCCCTCTTGGGGCCGTCTTGGGCCGTCTTGGGATGATCTGGTGGCCTTTTGGTCCGTCTTGGACGCCGTGATATCCGAAAAGACGCATATGCAAACAAACATTCTCCCAAAAGGAATGAAACGATGTTTTCCTCTTGGAGCTCTCTTGGGAGGGCTCTTGGAGGAATTTGCGGAGTCTTGGAGGCCTCGTGGGCCGGAGCGTCTTGGACCGATCGCGAGTCGGGCCCCCCCTGGACCGGCTAAAAATCCTATTGGAGACCTCTTGGCCTGCCCTGGGGCCCGCTTGGGGCTCTCTGGGGCTGGCTCTGGGCCCTTCAGGGGCGCTCCAGACCCAGACCCGCCAGCGCGCCAGAAAGCAAGTCAGATCCGTTTTCAACGGATCTAACTTTAACTACGGACGGGACAACCGCAAGAGAAACACGGGACAACCACAGGACAACCGCGGGACAGCCATCGGCACGGCCACGGGACGGCCACGGGACAGCCACGGAACAACCACGGGACAATCGCAAGACAACGGCGGGAGAAACACAAGACAACCGTGGGACAACCACAGGACAGCCGCGGAAAAACTCCGCGCATGCCCTGGTCCACTTGGGGGAGAGCAATTCGCCCTCCTGGGCCTATAGCTTGGGCAGGAACTCGCGCAGCTTCGCCTTGCCTCCCTCGCGTGCACGTCGCGCACGGCGCGTTGCTGGTCGGGCGACTCCGTTTCGTGTGGTCTCTCACACCCACAACCCTCGCGGCAACATTCGCGTGGTGCATGAGGCAGGTCGAGTCGCTTGGCGATTGGCAGTACAACTCCCTCCTACGCACGCCGCCATCGCGGCCCACTTTGCGGGTCGTCTCGGACGCGGTAAAACGATGCTGTTCGTAGGATGCCGCAGAACGGGGGCGGCGGTGCGCGCGCTCTACGTGACACGATATCCCGTCGCCAAACGCTCGCTGTCCGAAGCTGCCAACGATGCCGACGTCGCTGTTTCACCATGCTCTGTCGTTGCATTCAGCTCCTGAGGCGCGTTCATCACAGCCGCGGCCTCATTCACTGCAATATGGGGCTTGGGGCCACCGCTTCTCCACCCAGGACTAGAGTCAACCCGTATAGTAAGGATTCGCGGTAAAGATGCAAGGACCTTGGGCGCCCATGCCGAGGCTCTTCGAGCAGGGCTGGCCATTGAAAGTGTTTGAGGACAGACCGAAGATGACTGAAGAGGCAAGGATGCAAGGGTACCGTTCAAAAGTCGATCGTCCTTACCATTCGAGTTGGACGATACGTCGGTTTCGCAAGTGTCTCATGAAAAGAAGCGGTGCCATCAAGATCGTATCCCTTACGGTGCCTGTCGGCGCGTAACGGACTGCCACGTGAGCGTTTTTTTATTCTGCGTTTCGACATTGGGCGGAAAGGGGGAGGGAGGGGGGGGTCTGGCTCCAGACCTCTGCTTAGTGCGACTGTTTGCAAGAGTGCTTCATCTTGGGGGGACTCCACCAGCTCGAAACAGGCGTCAACAAAAACAGCCAAGATCTACTCCATGGGGGGGGGAGGGGGGGGGGGGGGGCCCGCACCGATCGGCAAAACAATGAATGAGAAAATGATCACCATTACTCCAGATGCTCTCTGGTAGGGCTTCTTCAATTTTCGAAGGGCACCCCCTCGTTGTATCCAGTCGCATGCGTTGCCCCTCCTCCCGTGCCTCCCCAGGCGTCTGCACGCCTCGCCGGGAGCCCCCGACTCCTCCTCAATGCCCTGGAGACTTCCCAGACTGGCTCCATAAGGCCACCAAGGACGGCAAGATAACAAGAAATCGTGACCTGGTCGTTCAAGGAGACCGCGGTTGGAGGCAGGCTGGCCCGAGGAAGCCCCCTGAGGCCCCCAGAACACGCCCAGGAGGCCTCCAGAAGACCTCAGAAAAGTACTAAAACCTTCCGCGAGGCCCCCAGAGGCTCTCCAAGGAGGAGGCTCCGCAAAAAGAGCTAAGGAGGATGGGGAAGAACTCGCAGGGTAGGGCGAGCATTAGGAAAGAGAAACATGGAGGAATGATAACGAATAACGTATTATAACGGCGATGCCGAAACAGGCAACATGGAGTCATCGCTAAATCGTCTGTTTGACCTTCCTGCTCTTCTGCCTGCATGCCAAACTTCAAGGACCAAGGTGCATGGCGCACAGCGCCAATGCATATATATATATATGTGTGCATGCGCATAGATGTACATATATATATATATATATATATATATATATATGTCTGTATGTATGCATGTATGAATGTCTGTATGTATATATGTGTGTGTGCGCAGCATGCGCACACACGCACTCGCGCGCGCAAGAAGCTGGTCTCAGACCCCAGATCGCGTTGAGCAGGGCGGCCCTGGTATGCCCTGGTTGTGGTGAGCACGCCTATCCTGGGTCAGCACTGCAGTACCGCAGCTGGCACAACTGGATCAACCCAGCGCGCTGCCACAACTGGTTCAGCGCAGCGCGCTGCCACAACTGGCTCAGCGCAGCGCGGCTCGGGGCGCGGCGTCTCGGGACGCGGCTCGGGCACCTGCTTCTTCTGGAACCTCCCCCGGCACGTGCCCTCGCACACGCTGCTCGGAGGGAGCTTAATGTGTTGGATTATCTCGCTCTTCCCTCCCTGCGGCCCCTGCGGCCCCTGCGGCCCCTCTCTTCCCTGCGAAGGGCGGCCTGAACAGCAAAGACAGAAGAGACTCCGCCTCCTCCTTCGTCTCCTCACCCCCTCCCCAGGGGGTGGAGGAGGAGGAGGAGGAGGAGGAGGAGGAGAAGGGGGGACGAGGAGGAAGAAGGGAAGGAGGATAAGGAGGTGGAATGGGCGGAAGAGGACCAGGAAGCGGCTGAGGACCAGGAGGCATAGGAAGATGGAGATAAAGTTAAGGAGGATAATCAAGTGGAACATGAAGAGGAGATGGACAAGGAGGTGGAGAAGGAGACAGTGGAGAATGTTCCTCCTCCTCGTCCTCCTCCTCCTCCTGTCCGTGGATAAGGAAGTGGTTAAAGAGGAGGAAGAAGAAACACATGAGGAAAAGGGTATGGTGAAGTAGAAGGTGGAAGAGGCAGAGGATGAGGTGGCGGAGGAGGTGGAGGGTGTTCCCTCTTCTCCCCCTCTTCCTCCTCCGTCCCCTCATCCTGTAGAGGCCTCCCAGGTGGGGTCAGAGTAGAGGAGGTCGGGAGATCACTCCGCATCGCCAGAGATGTACCGGGGACGTCGGCTTGGAGGAAATATGGCTCCACGACGCGATCATCCGCCCTCTGAGCCCATCTGGGAGGACTAGATCCTCCTCCTCCTCCTCCTCCTCCTCCTCCTCCTCTTCCTCATCCTCCTGCAACGACTTCAGCATACTGATGGTAGTAAGGACGGGGCAGTGCTGTGTCTAAGACAAAAAAATGCGGGCACCACAAGTTGTCGTACCGAAACACCCCCCTCGACCTGACGGTCCAGATCGGGTCGGTCACGTGCAGCTTTGTACAAGTTTGCACATATGCGGTGTCGTCCTGTTTATGTGGTGGTGACTGGGTAAGAAAAGCCAAATACTTGTACACACCATGGTTAGCAATGTTCTGAATTAGCGTCATGGCTGGGGCTCCGCACTGTCTATGTGAGAATCGCCCAGCTGTTCAACAGCGCTCGGGGCTTTCTGTGGTCACTCGCCGACAGGCCTGAGGGGAAGAGAAGTAGGACGAGAATCGCTGAATTACTCATCGCCGCTCACCTTGTGCGTCTGGGGCATGCTGAACCGATCTCGGGCGCTTCAGTCGGTGGACAAACTATCGCAAGTTATCAGATCATTCTGAGAAGCAGCGTGCCAACTAGGATCAGATTCCATCGATCTCTGATGACCCCCCCCCATCCCCACATTTCAATGTTGGCTTGCATAATTTTGTCCTCCAGGACGGGGGTGCCTCACCGACGCCAACATTGACATGTAGGGGGCAGTGGGGGTGGCGTCCAGATCTTGCCGCAGCCCATGTGCAGCCGCATGCGTCCACGAACAACTGGCATTTTTTCGTCCACCCACCGTTGCCCATGCCTTTACCGTGGTCCAAACGGTCATACTCGTCCTCCCAGTCGGGCTTGCTGTCCAGCATGAGCAGGCGGTCGGCAGTGCCCATAAAGCAATCATCGTTCCAGGCATCCTCCTCTTCGTCGCTGTCAGCCCACGGCGCCAGGAACTCCTCGAGGCCATGCTTGGGTAGCTTTGCCACCGATTGGTCGCGGATGCCATTGAAACGCCCTGCGCTTGCCACTCGGTGGGTATAGTCTGGGAAACACCTGACGTTAGGCATCGCCCACTGGAGGTTACGACTCTTCATTCAGCCTATGGATGCACGCCACTCCTGAGTATGGGTTAACCGCCCAGGTCTGGTTGGTGGCCCACACGTGGTAACCTGAGGTCGGGCGTGTCCCCCTGCAGGCAGATTTTGGACGAAAAATAAAAATACCGAGCAGATGCTCAAAACATACCCGAAAACGATCAAAACATCGTCCCCAGACTATGCTTTGACTATTCTGAGCATTCCCCCTGAAGAGGGACAGGCCCGACGCAATGGCAACCTGATGAAAGGATCTGCGCCTGCCACGAGAAGCTTCCTTTCCGTTCGCTGACCCTGGCCGAGGAGGGGAGCTGGTGCACCCCGCTGTCGCCAGGTCGGCTACCCTGCCTTCTCGCGCGGGGCGCGGCCAGCGAAAGCGGCGAAGGATGGGCCGAGGAGGCAAGGATGCAAGGGTATTCTTGGGAAGGTTGCCCATCCTTACTATGCGGGTTGACTGCAAGGTCGGGCGTTGGCAGAACTGGGTTTAGTGGGACCTGGCTCAGTGACGTGTACTGGGGGACGCCCCCCCCGCCCCGTTCCACGAACGGGAACTGCCGCCACGCGAAGAAAGCACGAGCTGCGGCAGACCTGGTTTAGTGATGCTGGCCGATTTAGGGGCTCCGAGGCCCTGCCACCAACCGGGTCCCCTTACCTGGGGTCCTGGCCATACCCGATGACGGCCTGGGCGTCAACCAATTCGTATCGCACCCGTCAGGCCCCCTGCCGGTGGCGTCAAAGTTGTTGCGACAGGCATCCGGACCGTCGCCGATCGCGACGGTTTCCCGCGCCACCTCCTCGGTTGGGAATCTCACAGCGATGGCGCCGGTCAGGGCGCCCCCGCGATCGTGAGAATGGTCAGGTCACTGCGCAAAATCTTCACGGCAAGGGTCGCGCCAGAGCATGCCAAACCAAGTGGTGATCAGGTTCACGTTTCGCTCGTCGGGCGCTAGTGCATCATTGATGTGCACATGCGTTCTGTTATTGATGTTCTGTTCGCACACTGGCCTGAGCATGTGCGATGGTACTTTAGCCCCGGAATAACCCTCGATGGAATTGGGGTACTGGCTCTGGGCGATGTTTACCAGTTCCACCCGCGAATCGTGCCCCCGCATTCGTTACTCGCTTAGGGCGCTGCGCCAGGCCTGAGGCCCCTCTGAATAAGCGATGGGCATCATGCGGTAAACGCTGCCATGCAGTTTCTTGATCGAATCCTGGTAGCTGTCACTGGCTTCCCTAATGATGGGATTACCCAGAGCCCAGAGCTCCTCCAGATCGCGCGCCCCGGGGTTCAGCCAGACCCGAAGCCCCTCGCCCCACCACTCTCTGATCTGCCTGTCGCGCCTGCGGGCGCGGACAAGGTTCCTCCTGAAATTGAGGTCGTGGTTGGGGTGATTCATGGGTGAAGTCAAATCGTCGCGCGATCCAACGAGGTGCCCAAGTGGCAATCTCCCAGAATTTGAGCGAGAAATTCTGCTGGCACGCTAACGCACAGGAGCGAACGATCGGCTTGGCGGTCTTGGCGGGGGTGGGGCCCCCACGGGGGTCTCCTTTGGCAATGGAGGGGATTCTGGGCGACCTTGAAATTTACTCGTCCACTTGCGTCCCTTGTAACTGCCTCTGCCCAGGGTAGCTTCGTTCAGTGGTTCTGGTGAGAGGTCAGGTTCCTTCGTCGGTGAGATCGCCCCCCTTGTCCTCTCCCCAATGCCTTCGTCATTGGCGACTTTGTTGGAGATGCTTCTCTGCGCGCTTAGGTTGAGAATTGGGGTCGGTTTGGGTTGCGCCACATGTGCCAGCCAGACGCACTCGATGGCCCTGGCGGCTTAGATGGCACCGCCCTGTGGTGCACGGTTTTCCCCGGGGCCGTAGGCGACCCGAGGAAGGGAGGGCGAGGGGGGGGAGGAGGAGGAGGAGGAGGAGAAGGAGGAAGAGGAGGAGGAGGAGGAGGAGGAGGAGGAGGAGGAGGAGGAGGAAGAGGAGGAGGAGGAGGAGGAGGAGGGGAGGAGGAAGGAGGGGGGAGGAGGGAGGAGGAGGAGGAGGAGGAAGGAGGAGGAGGAGGAGGGAGGAGGAGGAGGACGGAGGAGGAGGAGGAGGGGAGGGAGGAGGAGAGGAGGAGGAGGAGGAGGAGGAGAGGAGGAGGAGGAGGAGGAGGAGAGGAGGAGGAGGGAGGAGGAGGAGGAGGAGGAGGAGGAGGAGGAGGGTGGAGGAGGAGGAGGAGGAGGAGGAGGAGGAGGAGGAGGAGAGGAGGAGGAGGAGGAGGAGGGAGGAGGAGGAGGAGGAGGGAGGAGGAGGAGGAGGAGGAGGAGGAGGGAGGAGGGAGGAGGAGGAGGAGGGAGGAGGAGGAGGAGGAGGAGGAGGAGGAGGAGGAGGAGGGAGGAGGAGGAGGAGGAGGAGGAGGAGGGAGGAGGAGGAGGAGGAGGAGGAGGAGGAGGAGAGGAGGAGGGAGAGAGGAGGAGAGGAGGAGGAGGAGGAGGAGGAGGAGGAGGAGGGGGAGGGGAAGGGGAGGAGTAGGAGGATGAGGAGGAAAAAGAGGAGGGGCAGGAGGAGGAGGAGGAGGCACAACTCCTCGCTTCTTGGTATTTGCTTTCGCGCCCGGCACTCATTCGGCGGTGGCCTCCGCTGTCCCCCCACGCGGTCGCTGACGGCCTTGCCCACCACATTTCCTCTTCGAGCGCCTGGCTAACTTGCGCGACTGATCCGTGATAGCCCAACAGACGGTTGAGGAATAAAATTAAACAACCGTCCCCCTCCCCCCGCAATTCAAAGTTAGCACGCGTGCGCATCACTGGTCTGACACTCAAACTCGGGAGATCCGAACCCCAAATTGCATTCGGAAGGAGGGGAGGCGAGTTCACACGATATGTCATGCGTGAGTGTTGCTTGATTGTTTCCGACACCTGGATAGATCACTTCGCTGAACTTCGCAATCCCACGTCAAGCCTTTCGCCGCGCGCTCGGCGTCTGTGGTGGCATCTCCATCCAGTGACTCGCTGCAGTACTATTGCAGCTCATCGCCAGTCTCTCTGAGCTTGCTGTTGCTCTGAATCAGCGCCCGGCTGCGATCCATCACCTCCTTGGCCGCCTTCTTTAGGGTCGCGCGCTCGCTCGTGTTGCTGCTCATCGAGTGACCCACGGCCCCCAAGACACTGTGCGCCAGCCTGGTTCTGCGCGCGCACAGCATGGCCCTAGCCTCGTCGATGTTGAAGCTCCAGGATGATGATCTGCAGGATGTAGCCAATCCGGCCGTCGACGTCGCCCACGCTTCCCTAGGTCATGGGCCCTCGACCGCTGAGGTCAATACCTTGTCCACGCACAGTAAAACTCCCGATGGCGGTGAGACCAGAC